ATATATACATAAATATAAATATATATAAATATATCTATATCTATATATGTATATATATACATACACACATACATATATACAAACATATATAAATACATATACACAAACAAATATACATATATACACACACACACTAAAAAACACACTAAAAAACACACACACACACCACACACACACACACACACACACACACACACACCACACAACACACACACACACAATTTGGATGACATGACCATCACGTTATGAGAAAAATTAGCTCGAGGGGAGGGTGATGTGAACATGCCATCATGAAAAAAGTTGACTGAAGGCCAGGGTGATGGGAACGACTTGCCATGAGTGCACAAAGCTCTTGGAGGGTGATTAGCTGAAAACACTTGTGCAGAAAAATAAAAATGTAATTGCAAAAGGAAGGCATGGAGTTTTCTCACCACACACGGTGTTTGTGTGTGCCCAGCCTACAAGTCACACAACCGTTAGGGTAGCCACTCAAGTAAGCCTAATGCCAGCATTTTGGTCCTAGTGTGTGCAGTGAAGCATCTGGATCCAAGGGGTTAAAATGATGGTTACACATTCAAATTTATTTGGGTGGAAAAATGTAAATCTAGTTCCTATTCTTTTGGGTTGCCATAGTATTTTGCGAACTTAATAGACAGTGCTTCCTGTACTCTTTTCCTTGCATGTTGATAAGGGTGGTACATGATTATAGTGTAGAATGCTTCAACTAAGCAGAAAATATTCAGGATAGTGCAAGTATTGAAGAAGTCTTAAATTAATGGAGACCAACTATAAATGAGTAAATAGGAGCCTGAAAGTGAATATGTGTTATGGCAGACACTGGGGAACTACTATCTTTTGGGACCATAGTGTATGATGCTATTTGGCATGGCTTTCCTTTCAAAAGTACAAAGGCATTTGATGTCACAGCTTTGTTCATCCTGTCTATCCCCCACTTCAAGTTCTGTGCCAGTTTCTCCATGCTGTCTGCTGTACTACTCACACATCACTAATTTTAGCCCTTGGACCCAAATGACATTGCAGTCATGTCATGGGAAAATCCAGGGTGACGTGAACATGCTGTCATCGGGCAATATGACCTCTGGCCGGGTGACACCAACTTGCGTCATGAGCGAAGGCCAGGGTGACGGAAAAGACTTGCCACGAGTGCACAAACCTCTTGGAGTGTGATATGATTCATTTGGCACTTAGAAGGGGGCTTTAGAATTCCTCCCATCGGTAAACGAATGTGGAATGTAATGTATGAAAGCCGTGACCAGCTTCAGGGAGGACCGTATTCCTGGTTGCTGTGACTGACGGGGCAGTCCCCAGGAAAATGTTGTGTTCACTTTAGTAAAATGTTTACCTACAAGGGAGTCAATTAGTATGATCTTGAGACCTCACCTGATTTCACCTTTCATTGGGTTTTCAGGCAGACTTTTTTTTTTTTTTTTTTTTTTTTTTTACTAATGTGTCAATAATGATACTTTTATCTTAATTATAAACATCATAATATTATAGTGTTATTGACTATACTAAAAACAGTATTCAATACCAGATAATATTACTGAAAATCAAGGAAATGGGTAAACAGGTAAGACATGTATTTCTCATGGCTCATGGCTAACTTTGAACTTATGGAGCCATCTATATGTAAAAAAAATTACTAAATCAAACACACTGTGGGCATGGCATGTTCTCACATGCCATCTCTAACAGCACGTGGTTAACAACCATACTTATACATATCAAATAAACAAAAACATATTCACTGGTGCCTCTAAACAAGATATTTGGAGCCTATGTACTCTTTTCCTTGCATGTTGATGATTCATGACAACCAATTGGAATGATCACCAAGACTGATTTTCCTTCCAGAAAAGAATACCATCAGGCAATTTTAATGACAGGAGAGTTAAATGTTTAGAGTTGAAAAAATATTAATACATAAAGGAGGACAAGAAGGAGGATCATTATAGACAATTCAAAACCAGACAAACAAATACAAATGAAAAGAAAGAATTTAGAAGAAACTCAAAAGGTTCAAAGTTCCTTTCCTGCTCACTAGAGCAACTTCAAGAAGTAAAAATAAAAACACACATATGCATTTCTGCAGTGCATCTCCCTTAACCCACTAACAACAGGAGTCCCACATATGAGACACCCAAAAAAATAAACATTGCTGGGCGTCCTGCCAGTGTGACGCTGTATCGGGGCTTGCGCTCCGACACAGCAGTGGGTTGCAGCCAGCGCATGGGCAGAGTCCAGGCCAGTCCCACACGCCGATTTTGTAGCTGCCGAGAATCTTTTATTTTTGGCTTCCAAATATACCAGTGTTAATGGGTTAAAACAGTTTCAAATTCTTTTATCAAAAAATCACAAAATTCAGGATGATGACCTAGACAAGGAGAGGAATAAACATTCATAATGGGAGTCATTCATGAACGGCAAATACCACACCTTTCCTTACCTACATGCCGTTGACAAGGGAAGATGATTCCTAAGATGGAAGAAAGCAAAAAATTTCATTGCTTCTACTGACAATCAATGCTAATTAGATGGCCACTGAAAGAGTACTATTTTTTTTTTTTTTTCTAAAAATCAGGTATGCCCAATTTTTCATTCTGACATATATTGCAAAGAAGTAAAAAAAGCTGTACATCCCACTTAACAGCTGGTAAAACAAACCTCATAAGACCATAAATGTTCCAGTAAGAACGTGAATATCAACAAGAAACTATCACTAAATAATAAAAAATCTACCTATTTCACTATCTACTTCCGACATCCATCACAAAGAACTATGGAGGAAGACAGACATGGAAATTTGTAGTAAGACATGATATTTAAATATGTGCAGTGACTAACAATTCACAACAGGTTGACCTGCAGAAATCCTGTGTCATCCAATTTGATTCTTGCAGCTGAGTGTTAACCCTTGAGTCCAATAATGCTTATATAGCACCACTTTCTCAATGGCCTCTTTCATGCAGCCTGACAATGGCTCAGCCATGGAGCACCTTACCAACTTGAATGGCCTTGCCAGCTTGGAGGCATAGCAGATCTAGGAATATCTAGTTTTATCTTTATGAATTCTGAGATTTCTTATAAGTTTACTGATTAAGAGAATCTAATATTTTCAAATTCTGAGGTTAAACATTCTTGTTCATAAAATTCTCATGAACATCTGACTCAAGAAGGGTATGTGTAATTCATAAAATAGAACCATTGGGGACAGTGCATATGCCAGGTGCCAATGGGCTACATAGAACTTTATTTATGTGCACTATACTACACTTTACTGTGGCCTAATAGCTGCATATTGTTAACAGGAGCTCTTGAACTAAGAATCAATGCAATATAATTATACAAACTGAAAGGGTTTTATGTTAAGGTCATATGTTTCCAATATGCTGCAGACTAAAAGCATAAGATCTAAATGTGCTATTAATTACGCCATAAACCCATTGGATCTGGGTGGTCTAACTGCCATGAGAAATTTGGCTAAGTGATGGATGATGGCAATATGCTGTTATGTTAAAATAGGGTGACAGGAATATATTATCATATAACATTTGGATGAAGGCTGATGTGATGGGAATTACTCCACATGAATGCACAAAGCTCTTGGAGGAAGATTAGACTCTGTAGTGATTTAGTTAGTGAGTGCAGATAGTACCCTCCAGGAGCCATGGTTGGAACAATGCCTATTCCAGGGAAGACACTCTTTCCATGTTCAGTATCCATTCCTGCCCACCCTGACTGGCAGCACAGTGTGTGTACAGAGTTGTACACTACCGAGAAAGATGATTTGGAGTCTGGGCATATAGCATATCAAATGACAAATGTAAACCTGGGGAAATGGGAAAAAAAAAATGCTTATTCAGGAAGACAGACAATAACATGGTAAAGGGGATGCAAGGATTGTTAACACTAAAAAAATGTAGGCCAGGCCTACAAGCTACACATCTGGGGAAGTTGCCAATCAAGTAAGCCTAATGCCTGGATTTTAGACCATGTGTGGGTAGCATGGCACCTGGATCCAACTGGTTAAAAAGGATCAATCTATGCCATCTACCAAACAGAAATAAGGTCTCTGCTTGATAATAAATTTCTTCTATTTGAACTTTACCTTAGCTACCCTTTCTAACTAGAGCAAAGCCTTGTTCTTCAATTATTGATGCTTTGAGTTGAAAAAGGCCAACTCTGACTGCTTCACCATCAAATTGGAAGAAATTGGAGGACGGACACAATATTCTAAAAACAAACCACTGAAAGAATAAGTTGCACCAAACTATACATCTTTCTTCACCTAAGCACGTTACTCTTACTTCAAATTATAGAAAATGCAAAATTTGTATACATATATATAAATATAATTTTTTTTTTTTTTTTTTTGGCTTACGTAAGTAGCAAATATCCCGAGCATGCCGCGTTTAGGCCAGGCACAAATGAACACCCATGAGCGGTGACAAGACTGTGAGACCCTATGCAAAGTTATTTTGTTTAAACTTTTTTTTAGCTTTATTGCATGATTTTCAATTTTATGAAATACAACCTGCGCCGCCAATCACAGGAGCCAGGAATACAGTGCGCAGCATGGAAATGCTGTCCTCCCTGGAGCCAGCGCACTTCCAGTCACTGCTTATGCACATTAGAATCCACATTTGTTTATTGATGGGATTAAGCTAAAGCCCCTTTCTAAGAACCAAATGAGTCAAATCACACTCCAAGAAGTTTGTGCTCTCGTGGAGAGTTTTTTCCATCACCCAGGCATCGCTCATGGTGGCAAGTTCACATCACCCGAGCCCGTGGCCATTTTGCCTGATGACAGCATGTTCATGTCACCCATCCCTCGGCCCAGTTTTTCCATGACATGACCATAACATCATTCGGATCCAAGGGGTTAATAAAAATATTTCTATGCTTTTCATATTCTTTAACCTAATTTTGATGAGTTTCTCCCACACCAAACTAAACCAAATCTCATGTAATCACCCACGAGGAAAAAGAAGAAGAAGAAGAAGAAAAAAAAAAAAAAAAAAAAAAATGGAGCAAGGGGAAGACATACTTTTCCATTCTGTCCAAATTTGGGTGCAACATACTAAAGTTTCCATTGACTGAGACTAAAAAGGGTTCTAAGCTCACTTCTGAGGAACTGTAGCTTATGAATAGCCACACAAATGAACAACTAGAACATGGAGCAGGCTGACTGCATATGGCACTTATCTCAGCCATCCTATATCTGGGCTCAATTTTTAGCAATATTGAGTAAAGTAAAAAGTGAAAAACATCCCCTAAATCTACTATCAGAAAATCCTAATCTTCACAGCCAAAGAATGTTATTTACAATGACATAAGTTTGTGTAGGAACTATGCACATAATATTCCTGTATTTGCAGATGTCAGAAAATACTGTATCCAATAAACATGGAATATCACATCAAGCCCAAAAATAACCAGTTGCAATGAAATGTGTTGTACATGACATCCAAGTTTTTGACCTGAGCCCGGTTGTGAAGAACGTCATGACAGTTTGCTTGATTTTGACTGTTATTCAAGGTACATAAAATATTTCACGAGTAGAATGCACTTTCTTCCTTTATAAATTTATAAATAAAGCCCACAGGAATTGGGCTACATCACAATGACTGGAATTACTGAATCAGCAGTGCTTAACTTTGCAAACAGCAACTCAAGCTTAGTAAGCTTGTACTTTGGCCATAGAAGAAACTTACTATCCCCTAGTGCAACAGACTAACAAAAAAAGGAAGAAAGAAAGAAAGAAAGAAAGAAAACAAGAATTAGTAAAATCAGCTTTCATAACTCTGCAAGAGATTCTGTTTACCTTGGTGAGGGTTCCACTGAGCCAGAGCGTGCGTATCTGGGCGAGAGTCGGGGAGAAGGCTTTGGTCTAGGTAGTGTAGAGAGCCCTGATGCAGCGGTTGAGGAGGAGGAACCACTTGCAGGACGCTGGGAGGGGCGGGAAGGGGAGCCCCGTATGAGATCAACTGTGGCTGGACTTTTCATGGGTGAGGCTCGAGGCCTAGTAACTGATGATGACCGCACTGCTGTTTGCTAAAAAATCATTAAGACTAGTTACAACTGATGCTTGCTTTCTACAAGATGGATGGAAGCAATCTAGGCTCCTTAAGAAAAAAGATCTTGATAACATTTCCTAGACCTAAGCAAAGGAATTAAATACATATAAAAAAAAGACAAACTGATGCTAAGCAACAAACCAATCAACAAAACCAATTAATCAATAAACAAAACTGGAAACTATGGAAAAAAGTAAAGGTTTAAATATCTCACTCTTGGGGAAGCTTGAGGTGCAGACGTGGGCCTTGCGGACGGAGGAGGACGCTGGGATCTGGAGGCAGAGTTTGAGCGGACAACGGCACTTGAACTGTGTTGTGCACGCGAGGAGGAAGAACTGTGGGAAAATAAGAGAGAAAGCAATAAGTTTCTGTCATAAATATGTATGGGAATCTGGGGAGAAAATGTTAAAGTATTGATTGGTATACGAAGAGGAACAAAACTCATTTCATTTATTGATTGTACAGAAAGCTAACAAAGAATTCATTTGAAAAATGTGTTCTGAGTACAAAGTGGAATAATAACAACAATATGATGAATATGGGAAAAAACTTCTTGATAAAAAAAAAAAAAAAAAAAAAAAAAAAAAAAAAAAATATATATATATATATTATAAAATAAATATATATATAATAATAATAATAATACATATATATATGTATTACATATATATATATAATATATATATATATATATATATATATATATTATATATATTATATATATATATATATATATATATATATATATATATATATATATATATATATATATATATATATATAATATATTATATATATATATATATATATATATATGTAGATATAGATATATGAATGGATGAAACTGGTATATAACACAGAATATACGTATCAGCTCACTTTAGACGAATAAAAGAAATTCCTCACCACTGACTAGAGGTCCCGTGACCCTGAGCAGAGCGTGCAGAAGCTACAGCTGCCTGGTACTCAGGACTCATGATGCTCTCAGGAGCTGGGACAAACTTGGTTGAACCCACTAGCTGGCTACTGCTCTCTGAAGGGGGGAAAGGATCATCATCACACTCAAATTTTGAATATGAAGACAAATACAGGAGGAAGAAGAGGAAGACGACAAAGGAACGAGGAAGGAGAGATATGAATACGTGTAAGAGGCCTGATGAACAAAGTTAGAATAATAAAATATAATATTATCCTAAAGATGAGACTTTGAAATTTTTTCTTTTTAGTTATTTTGCAGTACCTCACTTTTAATATCTCAATGTCCAAAATTCAGCACATGATTAAGTCTCTGTACTCAGCCTTAATAAAGAATTACTACTTACTACTGAATTGTTCTCAAAAAAACTATCAAAGAAAAAAATATAATTTCTATCAAAAGAAGGTTGTTGAACACCAATCAGAACTTAGCTAGAGGCTGTGCAATGCAGAAATGAAAGACTCGAGTGATCTAAACTACAGGGTGAGGGTGCAAACTAACATGACAACACACTTGTACAAGACTCGTTTAAATCATTTATGCAGTGTAGTTAGAGAATATAAATTTCTTTGGATTTTTATCATCCATTTTCACATGATGCCACTGGCAGGCTTCATAAGCAAAGAAAAGTTGTATAATAAGAAATACAATCATATTTTATTATCAATAACCCTTAGTAAAAGTAAATGAGGAAAAACATCCTTACCTCCAATGTTTATTCATTTAGTATTTTTTAAAAGAAAATGACACCAACATTAACTTTTTTGACCAGTTGAAAATGCAGTCTTGTACAGCCATGTGTATGATGTCAATATCAGTGAATACTTGCGGATAGAAGCACTACACAGTCCAGGGGGAGTACCTTGGGCTGTCACATCCTCTAGCACCAGGTCCTTCTCATCCCCAAAGAGGCTGGTAGGCCTGGGGTGGCCAGTGGGTGGTAGAAGTGTGCGCTCACCCCACACCTCTGCCTCTCCATTGGTCATGGGGCCTAGGTCCAAGCTGCGTGTCATCAGTCCACCACAGGGTTCAGGCTGTGCCAAGCTTCGTGCTAGCTGTTCTGGGCCCTGGCTCTGTGTCATAGGGTCCAACTCCAGGCAACGCTTCATCTCCTCTTCGCCCATTGACCGGGACATGGGATCTATGCCCAACGATCGAGACATCTGCTCTGCCCCTAGGCTCAGTGACATTGGGTCCACTTGCCCCCTGGGGCCACTGCCAGCCAACTGCGACAGGATAGCTGGGTCCATGCTCTGCGTCATAAGGCTCGGGGTATCAGGTGTGCGCAGGTCTCCCCCATACAGTGTGTTCGACAGCTCTACATGATATGACTGGCTCTGCTGGGAACGTGAGCCTGAGTCACTCCTTGTGGCTGCAGAGTGAGAGTGTGTGCGGCGGTGGCACTCACGCACTGGGGCAGGGCGAGATGGGGCTGTGGGGAAGTGGAAGTCACTACTCCTGTGCTGGCTACTTATGTAGAACACAAATACAGATCACTGGATAAAATCATTAACTAGAATATATCACTAATAGAATAATAATGAAAAATCTCTACACATTACAAATAATTTAACCCTGTCTTTCTATATGCACAGTCCCTCCATAAATTTATATGCAAACACGTATGTTAAACATTGTATATATCACTACAAATTTGAGTGGATAACTATTCTGAAAACATTGTAAATCTGAGCAATAATCAGACACTACCCACTTTAATAATATGCAATCCATGTTCAATATCTGTCAGGTATTTAGAAATTAATTTTATGATCAAGAAAATACTCCCATTTCTGCCCTTTAAGGATGACCTTGTAAAAGGGAAGGGGTAAACATATGTGAAATAATATAATCTGAACACCTTGGTAGCCACATTGCATATGCTAAGAACTATTTTGTGAATCAAGACCCTATTAGCTTAAGTGCAATTCCATCAAGTAGCATCTCATGGCTTTCCACTACACAGGAGAAAACATTTACCATAATTCAAATGTTTTTAATTCTCCACATTTATCAATTTCAAAATGATAACATTACAGATTAAGAATCCTTACATCCATTGCAACTACAATTTACAAAAGACTGCACTTAACAGCTTCCTAGAGAAGGTAAGTGCTAATTCACATTCACTGAAAGAACTACTTGAATGTGTACTTGTATTTAAATGAAACTACTCGTATAACTGTTGTTTCTACATGAGACAGGAAACAAATACAAAATTGCTCAAAATACCAATCTCTCGTCTTTTCAGTAGTACTAATGTACAGAATGCAGAGGAGAATTCTAGTCATGCATTCATCAAAAAGGGTCTACATTATTTCAAACACATCAAGATCCATACTGGAAAATTTATGATACTGAAAACTTTGACCATAAAGCTAAGGATTCGAATCACAACAAGAGGAGCTAAGACAGCAAGCTTTAATTCTACAAAAGCTTAGACGGAGGAAGGCTAAGCTACAAAAGACAAAGAACCTTAATTTTCCTTCAAAACAGTGCATAATAAATATACACCTTTTGTTGTCCACTAAAAAATATGATTTAAACTGTATAAAATCATACAACATGTAGCTATAGAAAAAATGAATTCAATGGCACTTGTCTGGTAATGTCCAGTTCACTTCTCAAAGTTCCTTTAAAAAGGTTATGAGCAAAATGTGAATGTGAAAACAAAACTATTTCACACAAACATATTTTATGAATTTAAAAATCAGTCTAAAATCCAGGTTTTTTCATCAACACAAGGGTAATGCACTTTATTATCCATTTAACAACTTCTCTCTTAATCTGAAAGAATATAAGAGCACATCAACACTTACTTGGATATCTTTTATATCGTAAGTGCTTATCTTTGCATGAGCTTTTGAAAAGTCTCGCAAAACATTATCTGAAATATACATGAATATTTGCATTTCCAAACAAGAGAAAGTAAGCAAATACTTGATAATTTTTTTCTTAGTTGAGGAACATTCATCATCCACAGAGAGCAAATATATACTTGTGGAGAGCAACTTACAAAGCTCTGGCACTGTCATACATTTGCCGTGTTGTCAATGCTATTGTGAAATTTAAATGTGCGCAATCATTTGTACTGCAATAGTGATTATAACTTAAATATTGCAGGAAATTCTACAGACTCAAGGGAATAAATCAATTAAAAAGGACAAAAAAGAAGTGAAAAGTCACTCAAATTCAACCATTACTATCCCTTGCCTCTCTTTCTTGCTGAATTTTATCTCCAAGAGTTCAAGTATGGGTAAATTCATTATTCAAGCAACTGCAGCCAAGCAAGAAGAACTGAAAGAGCAGACACTAGGGTAAAGACTGGAAAGACTGACCTGTGTTTCGTCTAAGGGAAGTTGACCTGGAGACACTGCGTCTGTGCATGGCAGAGAGTCATGGTGGCTGCTGCATCGACTACCTCGGCCACTGGATGACTCGCTGTAGAAGACAAAGACACCTCTCACAACATTAACATTACTGTCTGACATTTTTGATGCATTATGGATGAGATTTTACATAAAACACATTCTATTTGTTTAAACAGTCCCTTCATAGATGTATTTGCAAAGATTACTGCAGATATGAAGTTTTGTCTCCGTATTGTACTGATCAACTTAGCACCCAATCTTAGCACACACGGCTAGCCACTTTCACTGTGCATCAGGTTGCTTTCTAGGTTCTATTTAAAGTGAATAGATGTTCCTCCAGCTTCAAGGGTACAGAGTGCTAACCCTCCCCGTCCTATCTCTATTTCTCCTGATCCCTACTATGTGTCTTGGCAGCTTCTCATTCTACTCAATCCTTCCTCTATACCCGTCCATCCCAACTCTCATGCCAACACAGACCACTACCCCACAATCCCCTGCCTCCTTCCCCTAGGATCCTCTTCCACCCCTTCACCTGCTAGATGAATTACATGTACTATTACTTTGTTGTTTTTTCTCTTATATAAGAATCCTATGTATATCATCACTTTGTATCTGTTTTACATTTTTAAGCCTGCATTTTCTGGTATGTAAAGCAGAAGTCTTCAAAACAGCAAAGATGGAATATGCACTTTATAAAAGATGAAATTCAGAGGCAACTGTAGTAGGAACTACAGTTTTTTGGGATTGAAACTTTTCACATTTGTAAACTTGGTTACACACCATCAATTTTTGTAATTAACCCAATGCAAAACGGAGCACCATGTGCCATACTGGATAGTGCAACAGACTCCACAAACAGTCACCTGCTCAAGAGAAAAATTAGAGACACAGGAAACACGTTTCCCAACTCTCTACAATTTTGGTTGCAGTACATACAACTTTCCAATGAATGAGTTCAAACTGTGACTTTAATCTTACTTTTGAGAGGCTGTTGCTAGTCATTTACTAAATTAATGGCCAAACCAGTGAAAATGTGTTTAGTGCACACAACTTGGATTGGGCTCAATATGTATGGCATGGTTGTACATGCCGCCTGAAAGGAGTCCAATCATGCTATGTCATATATATATAGATGCCACCATTCACAGAGTAATCACATTTTCATTTAATTTTAGGCACAATTATTTCAAAATATGGTAATTCAAATGTGAGAGAGATGAAAGAGATATGTAAAATCTTAATCCCCGAAGTGCAAGCTGCCTTAACCCGCTGTCGCCTGGAAAATGTTGCGTTCACTTTAGTGTTATGTTAAATGTCTCTACGCATAGATGGCTCTGCCAGTGCTTAGCCACAAAGGAATCAATTAGTAGATCTTGTGACCTCACCTTTCCTTAAGTCAGCAGGAAAAATGCTATATCAATATAGCTATTAATATTGATACTGTTATTCTTATTACAAACATTGTAATTATTATATTATTGGCATTCCTAACAACAGTATCAAATACAAGAAAATATTATTGAAAATCAAGGAAAAGATTAAACAGGTGAGATGGGTACTTCTCATAACTGGCTCATTGGTGACCTAGTACTTGTGGAGCCATCTGTATGTAAAAACAATTACTAAATAAAAGACACAGTGGGCATGGCATGTATGCACATGCTATCCCTGTCGACATGTGGTTAATTGAACAAACATGTAAATACAGCACTATTGAGCACCATTTTTAAAAAACTTGGATTGCTACTTCTTCTGATCTGGGGCAAATTGAATGTAGTGAGTGTAAACTAGTATAACTGGTACACTCTTTCTTTCCAACCTCAAAGCCAAAAGAGCAATCATCTACCCTTCAGCAACCCATACTTCTTCCTATCCCACTGGGACTACTGTCTAGTTGGTTTCTCTTTCAATCTAATCCACTCTCTATATACCCTCCAAGCACTCACCAGCCCATGCATAATAAGATAAATCTAGAAATCAACTGTTTAACACAGCTTAAGGTATACACTTTATCATAACCCTTACTAGTAAATACATCTTGTAGAGTAATGTAAA